TTCTAGATCTTTAAGAGAATACTGCCAATAACTTTTTGTTGAGAGTGCTGTACTCCACTGAGTTAGTTTCTTGTTCGAGTTCTGGGTCACGTGGTGCATTTATACAATACTCACATGCAGTTCTCTTGTTGGGTGATGCCAGATCAGAGTTTACAGTAAATGGACACTCCTAGTGATTCTCCAGTAAAGCCTCAGTGTAAGGGGGCAAAACAAGGTGTGGCTTGGTGATGGTAGATTCGGAGTAAGCATTTGCATCACAAGAACAGAGGGCTGGAGTGATGTAGACCAAATATTAGCTGATTACAGGGCTGTGACTTTCCAGTATCGCCAGGTTGGAATTAGTTCAGTCCAGTCCATTTAGCCTACAAGGACGCTGACCGAAAAGAAACAAGAAAGAAGAATATAATGGAATCTCCAGTGGCGTTTGTTCTGATCCTGACCACCATAGCCTTTGCTGGTAAAGCTGAATTATATTAATTCATTTAATTACTATGATTTTGTTGCTATTGCATCCGGTAGTTCATAGATCTTTATTATAATTTTACAAAAATGGTTTTAGATGTGCTACTTTGGTACATTTCAATGTTTTAAAAGTTGTTGTTTTTTCCTTACATTTCAGCAACGTTCGTTCACTAGTGTGTGAATTTTTTTTTTCTTGCTGTCTGTTTCTAGATGTGCGCAGCCAGAGCATATATGCCTCTGAGAACCCCCTACCAGTGGGCAGCAACGTAACACTTTACAGCACGACCCCTGTCACTACAGGGGCATGGTTATTCAACAATTCATTAATTGTGCTAATATTCCCAGGAAATCCTGCCATACTTAGCGACAGGGTAACATACAATTCATCCACTTCATCACTGACTTTAATGTCACTGAAGGTGGATGACTCTGGAGAGTACGCATTACAGGATGTGGCTTTTCGTGCTAAGTTAATGCTGTCAGTTCAAGGTAAGGACTTTCTTGCTTTTCTTGCATGGAACACTGACATGACCTCTCCAAACCTGTAGGTTGATCCTGTGTTGTAGTGAAAAAACTGCTAACATTCAAAAACAGCAAATTGCAAATGGTATTTTTTAATTATTTATTGCTATATTTGCAAATTATTGATTTGCAAAATGAAAACTAGAACAGTATGGGACAGTATGCTGCAGTGTGTTTGTTTTTCACAAAACAAGTGACTCTCAACTCTTACTTTTAGTCATCAGTTGAGATAATTAATAATTTCCTAGTGATTTTATAAAATATATGGCGAAATGTGCATGAAAATGTATTAAAACACTGTGAAAGTGGTACAACAACTGTCGCTTTACTGTCACACCTGTTTTAGTCAGAACAAAGGTCATGTGAGGTTTGACACAAGAGGTAAAAAATGTAATTTCTGCTCAAGCAGACAATGCTGCACTAAACACAAAGTGCAGCTATGGCCATCCAACATACTAGTATTTTGACTTAATGGTGGTACTAGATGTATTATATGGCCTTAGTTACAACAGTTTGCCTTCAAAGAGACATGAATGTCAAGTTAAACAGGACCTGTCATGCTCACTGTCACCTCTGTATTTTTATTCTGGGACTGTGCTTGGGCAGCTTTACACAATTCACAGTTTTGTTTTTTAAAAATCCTTATTTACAGTTGAAACCAGTCATTTTAGGTCCTGCCTGTTTATGGCCTTACCCTTAAAAGCTCACTTTTGTCTGAATGGTCAGTTTCACCTGTCGAGGGGCAGCACCCAGTGCTTGTCAGCTGTACTGCTGGTACTCTGTGGCTGTGCTGTGCCTGTAATAGACGACGGTGTAGAGAAATCCATGATGAGCTGATGTCGACTTGTCAAAAAACTAGAAACAGAGCAAAACCCTGAGCTCTTGGTTCACAGCGATTACCTATACATATGTCTACCTCATTGCTTGAAACTTTGTCCATTTTAAATGAACATCTGACACCATTCGTTATTCTTATTTTCTGTTTTGGCTTGAATCAGATTTCAGTTCAAGTCATATGAGTCAGATTTCCACCTTATGTTAAGAGAGAATACATGGCTGCCTGTCTGCTACGGTCCCACATTTTCGCACAATCCTGACAAATTGCTTGTTACTTCCTTCTTTGCAGTGCCTATTTCAAATGTGACCCTGTGGGCAAAAGCAACCGACTTGGTGGAATTCAATGACACAGCAGTTCTCATGTGCTCTGTGTCCAGCGGCTCATCTCTGTCCTTTGAATGGCTGAAGGGCAACTCTACAGTCACAGCTGGTGAAGACGTACATTTCAGCAATGGAAATGCCACTCTCACCATAAACAATGTGACTCGCAATTACCAGGGACCGTTCAGGTGCAATGTGTCAAATGGCATTAGCCATGAAATCAGCCCCCCAGTACATCTGAACATCAGTTGTAAGTTTTAATCAACAACATTGTGTATGTAGGCATCTGCAATCCTAACATTAACCCCTAAAACAATTTCCCTGCTGTTGTATCATCAGATGGTCCAAGTAACCCGATGATGATGGTCACACCCATGAAGGACACGTACAAAACGGGATCTAATATCACACTGACATGCTCAGCGAAGTCCAGCCCTCCAGCGATGATCCAGTGGATGGCTAATGGAGTGTACCTAGACCACTACGGCGCAGAGCTTCATCTAAAGAATGTTACAGAGGAGAACTCAGGAGACTACAAATGCGTATTTCACAACACAGTCACGTCCAGGTTCAGCAGCGCAAATGCATCGATTTGGGTTTTAGGTAAGATTGGACTGTATTATTCATGAAAGTGACTTTTTTCTGTCAGACGTTTGATTATTTTGAAGAAATAATACATTTAGGGAACATTATTTATGTCTTGCTGAGAGTTACAGGGTGGATAAACCCTCCTCCCATGCAAAAATCCTAAGGAAAAGAAAAGAGTTGTGGTTTATGTGCCATAATATTTCTTAGGTAGACGTGGTGACTTTATGAGATTGTGTTGTCACAGTGACGTTGCCAAGCAGACAGCATGTTCAACAATTTGTTATTCCTCTGTTCTGGTGACAGCTATGGCCCAAGGCGTTATGCTTTTGGATGTCTGCTCGTTGGTCAGTCCCATTCTTGTATCAGAGATACCTTTCCTTGGACCCAAAATGAACTGATTCAGTTTTGGTTGTCAAAGTCAAAGATCATGGCCTCGTGTTCTTTCCATTCTGGGCAAAGTCCTGCCTCAAGAGTGCTTGGGAAGAAGTTCCTTCATGAAATTCTGATGTTGTGTTTTTTTCCATAATCCAAGATTCATATAGTACGTTTGATCCAATTTCAAACAAATGTGTAACAGGATAAATTGATGAAGTGGATGAAGTGAATTTTTATGTGCAAAAGGTCAAAGGTCATTATGATGCGTCTTCACTGTTGCTTCTAGATGTTCTGCAGAAACACTTTTCTGCCATTATTCAATGCCATAACTCAGAGACAGAAGGGGAGTTTGTGACCATATTACCTGTTTGGTAGGATACTGAATTAGAGACACTCATCTGAAACTTTACTGTGAAAACGTGCGTGAAACAACCCCATTTTAGAATTTGCAGCTTCTTTGCAGCCACATCCACCCTTGAAGCCTTTTGCTCTATCAGAATTAGTTTCATTGGTCAAGTGTGTGAACACATACAAGAAATCTACTGATGTTTTTCGTTTCTCTCGATGAACTGCAAAGTCTACACTACAAATTTTTACCATAGTCTGTATATACATGAATGTAAACAGCAGCCTGACTGGTTCCTGGCATACAACTGTGGTAACTGTAGTTTTTTGTGATGAAGAAGCTATCGTGTGGTACTTGTTGATTTTCATAGGTGCTGGTGGGTAGATTTAGTAAACCAGGCTATCTGTGTTCTCTATATTAGCTAGGTACCATCAAAAGGCATGTGAATAACGCCGCAAGTCACATCACAGGTTATCTGTTTCCAACGTCGTTGCTGAGCTAAGCTTTCCTGCTGCTAGCTGTAGCTTGAGATTTGACTGCCAGCCAATTAGAAAGAATTACACTATGATGCAGATGGTTGGTTATCGAGTGAGAACAAGCGTGATGAGAGGCTGCGGTGTGGGAAAGGATTGAGGATCAGAAAGAGCAGAGAGGCAAAAGGACAGAGAGGGATGGTGGGGCACAGCAAAAGAGAACCAACAGGTGTGCAGACAGACATATAACAGAAAGCAGAATGTTTCAGGTGCAGTTGTACTACTTATATCTCTTTTATCTTGCTACCTAACTGTCTTCATGACAACAAACAAACATCCAAACTTCTGGATCATTATCTGAAATTCTAGCAGCATGTGCTACATTCATTCAATCCTTCTACATGACTGAATTTAAATTCTGCATTTCCTTTTTTTTTTCCTCTTATAGATCCACTAACAGCAGTTGTGGTGAAAAATATCGGGGGACCAGCCATACTTAATAAACCATTCACTCTTCAGTGTGAAGTGACTGGAACTGCTAACACTGTTAAGTGGTGGAGGAATGGCCAGCCTGTTTATGCCGACAATACAACAGTCCTTGACAAGAACAACAAGACACTAACTCTAAACCCAGTTCAGCTTTCAGACAATGGATATTATAAGTGTCAGGCTTGTAATCCTGTGAGCAACATGACCAGCAGCCCCTACACACTTGAAGTTAACCGTAAGATATGCTCTAATTGTCATTACCCTTAACAAGCCATTTGATAAGACATTAGCAAATGTGGACAAATCTAGTAGACTATTAACAAAATACATACTGAAATTCTACTTTCATGCACAGTTCTGCATTATGTATGTGTCTAGAAAGTCATGTGATTATTTTCAGAGAAAGTGGTTTAAGGTATTATCCATGTGTTTAGATGGACCACAGATGCCAACTATCACAGGACCAAAGGTGGCAAAGACAGGAGACAATGTCACACTCTGGTGTTATGCAGCATCTTACCCCCCGAGCCACTACAAATGGTACTACAACGGTTCTCTAGTCTCCAACATGTCTGAGTACACCACACCTCCTCTTCTCAAAGAGATGAGCCTGAAGTACATGTGCATGGCCTTTAACAACGTCACTGGCAAGAACAGCACTGCCTACACCATGCTTACTGTTGTAGGTGAGGAGTGGCTATCGGCTGTTTTTATGTTAATGCAAAAATGCTTTTTCTTAACAAGTGGAAGTTAGACTTCTTCTGGGTTCTGCTTTGTTTTCAGATCCAATAGAAAATGTGCAAGTAAAGGCGCCAGGTAATCTTGCCGAAGAAGGTTATCCATACAATTTAACATGCGATGTAACTGGACCTGCTGACCATATTTACTGGATGAAGAATGGTGAGCCACTGCATGAAGACAACGGGACTGTTTTCTACATGGATAATAAGACAGTCTGCTTCACCGCACTGGAACCGGATGATACTGGCTACTACAAATGCATGGCTGCTAACGCTCTTGGAAACATGACCAGCCCTCCGTACAAGCTTCTTGTCAACTGTGAGTGTGACATTTATGACATTTTAAGGATTCATGTAGCTGAGTGGCACATTTTAAACTGACATTTTTTTGTACAATGAGACATCATGCTATATGTTACTGTACACTCTAAGGAGTCAAAGCCAGCTATCTCCTTTGCTGTTGCAGTTGGACCAGAAACACCCATGGTTTATGGGCCAGCTTTTGCCGAGACAGGACGATATGCAATCTTCAACTGTTCTGCCATGTCAGTTCCTCCCAGCCACTATACCTGGTGGTTCAATGGCTCCATGGTGGCCAATACTTCGATGCTTACAGTTGGTCCTTTGTCTTTTAATATGACTGGAGAATATACCTGTATGGCCCACAATAATGTGACAGGAAAGAACAGCACAAAGTCCACAATGCTCACCGTCATTGGTACGAAAATTTGACTATGAGAAGGAATCTTAGGAGACATCTTTTAACACAACTGATTGAATATTGATTTATACTATGTCATAGAAGTATAAATGTTTAAATTGCATGAAGTGCAATCAAAATGTCTTGCTCACTTTACTCACTGTGTTCTGTGTCTACAGAGGCTATAGATTCAGTGACGGTTCGCGGCAACACAATTCCTATAAACCATAAAAACTTCACTCTCACCTGTGACGTTGTTGGACCCTATGACATGATCTACTGGATGAAGGACGGCATGAAACTCCACATGAATGACACCACCACTAACCACTCCTCTTATACATACTACCACGCTGAAGAGAACATGCTGCTCTTCACCCCAGTGACAGTGTACAACAGTGGGACATATCAGTGTGTTGCTACCAATCAGGCTGGTCTGCATAAGAGCGCACCGTTCAAACTCCTGGTGAACTGTGAGTATTGTAGGCAGCAACAGAGAGTAAACAATAGCTTTTTTTTTTTTTGCTGAACAACAACAACAACAACAGTTTTTTTTTTTTTGCTGTTACAACTGGAGATTGTATTCTATTTATTATTTATTATGTAGGGTAATCATGCCCGTGTGCGAGTGTGGTTTTTTTTGTCTGTTAGCAGTCTGGCGTTTTACAGGAGACGAGTTTGAACCTGAAACTTCATGTATGATCTCGATATGGTCGGAGTGATTAGATTTTGGGGTCAATACATGCATTGGTGACCACTACAGAGGTCAAAGGTCACATTTCCAAAAAAACAGCTCTGTATGACTGAAAATGCACAAAAACATCATACGTTTAGTACACTAACTTAGGAAGACATTCAAGGCCTGTAAACTGGTGATGTAAAATATAACCTTGAGACGTAGGTCAAGGTCATGCATACATTGGGCAACTATGTCCCTCTACTGAGGGCTCTCTAGTTATTTAATGAATTGTTTTAAATTAAAATCAAATACACTAATATTACATTTTGTATTCTATTTGATAATACGTGTTTGATCAGGCAAACACACTTAGATCACCTTCTCAATAACTGCCTATGTGTTTACCAATGATAGGTTACACATGGATACCCTGCTGATCATGCTTCATTCAACGGTTCAGCAACTTAACATTTACCAGTGATTACAATGTATGGTTTGCATTTAACCAGAAATACCTCAATGACCATTGTGAAGTTCTTCAAATGCTGCACAGAATAAGTGCAAATTTAGCTTTTTGAATGTGAGGACTATGTACACACATAATTTCAAAAAGATGTTTTACATAACAATTCTCATTTTACTGACATTTTGACTAACAGTTTCTGTGTGGTTGCAGATGGCCCCCTGAGTGTGAAGATCACTGGTCCATATTTAGCAGAACTGGGTTCCCTTGACGTGTCTCTGACATGTTCTGCTGATTCTTGGCCAGAGTGTCACTTCTACTGGTTCTTCAACAATCAGTCGAACCCTCTACAGAATGGATCTGTTCTTACGTTCCCTGTGACAAAAGAAAACGAGGGGAAGTACATATGTAAGGCGAGGAACCCTGTGACCAACATCACAATGTACCAAAGTACAACATTTGCTATCAGCTGTGAGTGAACCTTACACCTCCTCTCTCTATTTCAGAAGTGGTCAGTACAGCATCGCCATCATACATTCTTTGTGATATCTGATGAGCTCACAAGCAAAATTTCAGTGAATTATAATCCATTATTTTCATTGGGTCATTGCAAAATGTTTCTTTATAGTTTAGAATGTTTCAAAAACAAAGATAATTACATTCACCTAAATCGTTTTCATTACTAAGGTTAAAACACAACCAGTGTAGGTGCTGCAGATGTACATGATTCATGTTGTACAGTGTGATATTGTAATTCTTTCTTTTTCTCTCAGAACCACTGAAATTTCTCTTTACCACTCTTTATCTCTATCCCCAGATTCAAAATCTGCCATCCACTTCTCATCACAAAGCCTGATGTTCATGGGTCTGTTTGCTGTTTCTGCCTCTGTGCTGTTCAACTGAGCACTCCACACTGAACAATCCAGTCAGCTTGAAAGGCCTCCTGCTACAATCTTACTGTAAAATGATCAAGACATTACTGTATAATCCATACTCTTAATTTAAAATTGACAGTAACCGTGAAAAAATATTTTATTATTGCAATGCCTGCTTTGTTTTTATGTTAAATATTATAAATATTAGCAAGTGAAAGGAGTTGTGTTAGGCTTATCATTGTTGTTCCAAACAGTCATTTTAGTGAAAGTATTTCACTATACCTGCAATCACTAACACGGACCATACCATCAATGACACGATTTTTAAATTGAGAATACAAGTGGGATTAGAGGTAAGATAAGCAGCTGCACTGTGGGGAAGGCTTTACTGAGGATCAGCTCCCAGCCTGGCAGACCTGCCACCCAAGAGAGGGAGGAGAGAAAAGAGCCGGGAGAAGAGGAAGGGGAGGTGGGGCACAGCAAACAAGAACAAACTGGTGTGCAAAGCGGGCCAGCATTTGTAGATGTATGACAGGAGGAGGAGGAGGAGTGGTCCCGCTCCTAATCTTCAGCTGAACATTTTCCCTCCGTTACGCACAGAAGGGTAAAACATGAATGTTACTTGCAGTTTATTTTTCTGTTAAGCATGATGATGTTGCTTTATCATATCTTGATTCACTGTAGTTATTTGTTAATCAATAAAAAAAACAACATGATCGATTTTGTGGGGATTTTATTGAGGAGGATATAACAACAAGCGTTTGTGTCAGTTCAGAAAGTTACATTCAGTGCAAACTTTAGTTACAGAAGCATTGTCATCAACAGTTTCATCACCATGACCTGGATAACTGAGAATCTACATGATGTCATAAGCTTTTGCTTTTTATATAATATATAACTTGCAGACAGAGAAATGCGCGTGATAGTGGTGATTGTAAAATATCCAGTATGTACGAGAGCTTTCTTGTCTTCCTCATATTGGCACACTGGGACCAAACTTCGTGGGTTTACTCTTTGTCTTCGGATTGGAAAACCTGCTGCACTTCTTCAGATTCTTTGTCTTTCCCAACTGGCACAGTTTTTTCCCTTGTGTTTATAATAAATACGGACAAATAAAGCAGTACAGTAAGAAAAAAACAAACTATAATATACTGAGTACACAACTTTTCTTATCACTGATCTGACTTATTATAGGTTGTTTTACTTCATTATTCAAAAAAATCTCAGACAGAATAAGTAACTCACAGTTCCGTGTGGCAGACTGCGGACAGCGACAGCGTGTGCTCACCATGTCTCTTCCTTTTCCTGGGTGACCCAAATACACAGAAACAAAAGAAATGATTGGGTTTGGATACTGCACATTGGTCACACAGAGGCTGGGGTTACATTAAACACACATATAATTATATCCTTATTACTACATATCAGTTCTGGCTTCACCTTTGCAGTTACATGGTCTGTTGTGCCATCTTGGGGTGTTAATCGGATGTGCAGTTGTGAGCAGTTCTCCAGCAACAGTGGCTGCAACACAATTGATGTTAAACGCAGGAAAACAATTGTTAATAAATATAAGAAGTAGTGCAGATAAAACGATTTAACTGTTATTAATAAACCACTGGTTTTCAAATGTGCTGGGGTTTTTTTTTTGTTTTGTTTTAAGTTTAGATCTTACATACGTTCAGTGAATGTGCTGACAATCAAGGATTGTTCATAGGTCTCAGGAACACCTTTGATAAAAGACAGAAAAACAGAACAATATACACATTATGTTAAATTACTTCCCTAATAAATATTAACATCTCATTCTGATAAAGTATACATTACCTTGAGTGTGATCAGTGAACATCAGCAGTACAAGGACCAGCAGCAAATGCATCCTTGGCTCCATGCTGAGAGTTAAGTCACAACACTGTTGTGTGCCCAGAAAAAGTACTCCTGCAGGTGCACAGTCCCAGTGAAGGAATAAAATATTTGTTCTTCTGGGTCTTTATAAAGGATGGTGTCGATGTCTGAAATTGTAGCTGTGACATATTCATCAACTGCCAGTTGCATGAGGTCTTGCTCAACTTAACACGCTCAAAGCTCAGTGGCTGTGGATAACACAAAAGAGTA